GTTCTTATCTGGTCTGAACTGTTCTTATCTGGTCTGAACTGGTCTGATCTGGTCTGAATTGTTCTTATCTGGTCTGAACTGGTCTGATCTGGTCTGAATTGTTCTTATCTGGTCTGAACTGGTCTGATCTGGTCTGTCACTTACAGCCCATAAAGTGTCCTGAGGTGTGTGGTTGTAATGTGGGCAGAGTAGCATCTACCCCAGACTGCGTGAATCTGTTAATGAAGCTTTTTAATCTGTTAATGAAGATTTTTAACACGTTTTCCTGCAGAGAATCATAACTATTTGTTCTGTTTTGTTGTAAATGTTTGAAGGAAAGAGATGAAGGAAGATGATGAGGATTTGTTCAGGTCTAAATGTGGAAGCGTCACTGATGAACGGATCAGGTTCAGTTCTCTGGTCTGTTTGTGAGCTCCATCCTGAACCATGATGGATGTTTCCTCTGAGCTCAGTGGGCCTGCAAACCAACAGGCCTCCTGTCGGGTCGTGTGTCATAGGGATGCAGAAATCATTTATTATTAAACACATATATGCTAATAAACTTTGGAGATATTTGTATTCACTGTATCTAAATGTTGATATACTTCAGATAAAGTGTGTGGTAACATGTAGCTAACATGAATAAAATGTTTGTTTTTCCACTTTAAAAGCTGTCTGCTGCTGCTTGGCTGCTCCCACCAGGGGGCGCCAGATGTCTGCGGTGATTCTGACTGAGGTTGATGATGTNCAGACTATTTCATTTTCTCACTGGAAACCCAGCCGAGAGGGCGCCTGATGGCTTAGTCTCCGGTTAAACCCAGGTTTAAAGCCTTGCAGGGCAGCCTAAAGCCCACTGCCAACATTAAGACAGAAAAAAGAAAGAAAATAACAAACCATCAGTTCAGGGGTTTGAGAAAATATGGGAATCAGGAAATTATCTATAAACCAAACTGAATGATTGTTGTTCTCTACTTAAAAAAACACTAAAAGGGAAAAATTATCTTTTGATTTTTTTATTTAAAAATTCAATGTATAACATGGAATCATAAACACCTCATTTTATTTCAGTGCTAAATTCTGTTTAAAGTAACAGATAATTATTAAAAATGTCTCCAGACCTTTACTGGTTGATTTGACTCTGATATAGATATTTGTTTATGTAAAAATCCCTGATGAGGAGATTATTCCTCCTTAGGTCTGCATCACAAATATTACAGGGAAATATTATGGTACAAATACTGCAAAGAGGACAGACTAAAGTATCTTCCTTATAAAAAACACAAACTTTAACTCAACAGCAGCATTTTCTAAAAGTATATAACAAAAACTGGGAAACACACAAAATTCTATGCAATATAAAATCTTTTATAGATTTTTAAAGATGATTTTAAATTCACATTTTTATGATAATAAGTAGGTATCATGTTACAGTAACTTCATCCAACCTCCTCTGTTTCCTGTCACAGGATATTAAAACGAATCACTGCGAAACTCTACCTAAACTCCTCTGCTCGTCAACTTCTTCACAAAATAAGTTTTTACCACATTTTCATCTAAACACCTTGATGTAAAAAAACCTGCTGTAAACTCTGAACAAGTTAAAATTCAGCAGAAATCAGCGGTTTGTTTGGAGGCGGCTGTGAAACGGTGAAGTTGGAGGAAAAGTATTTTTTGGTTGAACTAAAGCTAACGTGTGTCTGAGTAAAAGAGGAGCCATCTGCACCGTAAAGGTCTGGAAGCACCGTAAAGGTCTGGAAGCACCCGCCGCTGCCGGTTATTGAATGATGGGAAATTTGGTGTTTTTATGATGAGCTCTCCAGTTAAAAGCTGGAAAAGTGGCTTGTAAACAAGCAGGATGATTCCACTCATTTTCATGTGTTTTATTCTCCTGATTCAATTATTTGCTGATGTGCATATTTAGGACTGCTGCACCAACGTTTCCACCTACGCTCCATCTGTTTGTGTTTTTTTCCAAAGCCATTAACAATCTCTACCTGAGTCTCTCACCATGTTATGGTCTTTCATTCTGTCCACTGAGCTCCGCTAAATCATTGCTTTACATTAAAATCTTTAACCTTCCTGTTCTAAACACGGGATGCAGCTGAATGAAATATTAATATCTGATGATTTACTCTCTGTATTGCTAGATAATCAATATTTAGATATTTATTCATCTAAATACAGAATATATTCAAATATATTCTCTATATATTCCTGAACTTTCCTCACAGAGAAAAAGAGTCAAACTCCTGAAACTGTTTCCTGGTTTCAGATAAAAATTTCTGGACTGAATTTAATTTTTTGCATTTTTGGAACGACCTGGATGATTGAGAATCTTCCCCAGCATCTCCAATCACTGCTCATCTCTAAACAGGTCCAGTATTATCTATGGGACCAATACCAACATCAAAAAATGACTAAAGCTGCGTTTAGGGCGGGACTGTTTTCTGCGTCAGTCTTTGGGGGACAGCGTTGCAGCGTCCGACTCCGTAGTTCAGTAAATGTAACATTTGTGCTGAGATGCATCGCCTGGCAACACAGAGACACATAAGGAGGGTAAACAGATGCCAAACATTGGACTGCAGGAAGCCGGAGTACCCAG